CTGTCACAAAAAAAGTGGAGTCAACAAATCAGTGATGCGCCCACAAACACACACACCACACTAAATTTAAAATTGTTCAATGGATTATAGAATTCATATAATTGATTTGTTCTATTTTATTTAATTATATATACACGTGCATTTTTTTTTACATATCCGTTTCTAGATTCAATGTAAACACTATGCTTTGGCAATACATTGTAACAATTGTCATGCCAATAAAGGACATATTGAATTGAATTAAATTGAGAGAGAGAGAGAGCATCTTACCTTACATCTACATGCTTAATACTTTTTATATATTATTATTATTTTTCTTTCTGTTAATACATATGTGCACTATTTGTAAGCAGCCCAGCTGCAATTGCTTTGGCAATACAAATTTATAGTTTTTTTTTCATGCCAATAAAGCACACTTCAATTGAAATTGAAAAAAATTGATTGCTGCAACACCAAAATATTAGTCACCAGTTAAAACTGTAACATTCTGATACCGCAGCAAACAAAAATAATGAGCCAAATCTTTTTCTTTCATTGTTTGATTAGAACACAGAAAGCAGCAGGTATTTAATATGAGGCCGCTGTCACTCTGCCTAGGCTAATGCATAGATCCCATACACTGACACACAACCGATTTTTCCCAATTGTTTACATCCACTTAAGGCATAACTTACTGTGTATACAGTATATATATATATATATACAGGTATTTTGACATAATTTTGTATGTATTTGTATTACCATTCATCCGCAAAAGCTAACTCAAGATAACTCAATAACTCAATTTCCTACTTGCAAACACCAAGTCACATGTCAGACAGCACGTTAAGCCCTGTGCCCCTAATAACATTACCAAAACAGTTTATAGTACAAAAGTAAACACAAATGTCCATAAAATCAAATCAAAAACTGATAATATGCAAAGCACCATGCACCTCAACTGACGCCACAAGCAACAAGCAGGTCAAAGCTGCGCGTGCACAACTCTACGTGATTATTAGTCACAAATGACTAAATGTAAACAGCCAAGCAAAATTGCACGTGGACGAGTTATCACTATTTACACTCGATTTCTCAATCCCAAAGGCAAATAACGTGTAAAACACATACCTTTAAAGTTTCATGACTTTCGTAATGCTTCATTTTTTTCTGCAAAAAAAGTTGATGTGATGTACAAATAATATCGGATTCCAAACTTTCACAATCTGTTTCTCCAATTTCCGTCCATATTTGATTATTAATATTCATGATAGTGATCCAATGAGATTGCCATATGGGCGGGGCAACCTGACGCGACGACGTAGATTATTTTTAATTTTTAAAATTTTTTTATTATTATTTTTTTATTTATTTGGACAAAAAGTGACAGATGAATTTATGCGATGACACAGCAGACTCTGTCAAATAACAAAACATAAGAGAAGTGAAACCTTTTAAAAGTTAATATTTTGTTTGTTTCCTTAACAATACACAATTATATGGATCGTTGCAGTTTTTCATTTGTGTTCAGTATTTTCTCTGCTGTCCTGTGATCAGAACTGACCTGTGACCCACCTGTTGTGAATGACTAGCCTATTCTATAGGATCCCTCACATGTGCATTCACCCTTTGAGTCAGGGTGCGAACTACAGGGGAGCTGAAGCTCGGCTCCCCTTAATAAGACATGGGCTCCCCTGAAAACGTGATTTGTGAAATTTTGGGGGGTCTCAAAAATATTGACAATGTGTTATTTTGACATGCAATTTCAGTTTTGTGTAATGTGATCATCGTGGATTATTATGTGTAAAATTGCAAAAGTATCATTCATTCATGCATGACGGCGATTTAAACCTAATTCACTTCAATAAAGATACATGCTATTCTTGTCATGAGCATCAAGGTGTGGAGGCGCTGCGGTGCAAATTCCACTCATGTTTAGTACATGTTAAAGGTAGGGTATGTAATTTTTCAAAAACACTTTTGAAAACTGATTCGGGCCGAATCGCTAAACAAACTTGTAGCCAATCAGCAATAAGGGGCGTGTCTCCTCGTGATGTGGAGGAGAGCGCGTTCAGTGCACGGGACGGACATTAGCCGAGCCGAGCGACAGAAAGATAGAGATGGCGGATAAAAAACAAAAGAGGAAAACGTCTGCGGAACGATAAAGCAAGAAGTAGGACCCGTGTAAATATCAGATCAGCTTTCCAGCGCTGGAGAGAACTCAAGGAGCGGAGGCCTGCGATCGGACGCCGAGGTTGCTTTGTTTCTTCTCAATAGGTGAGTAACACCGTGTCTACAACAGCTAAAGTCTGCCTACATTCGACGCGATCAAACGACCGTTGAAATCCATTTGAAATTTGTGTCAGCACGTCATAAATAGAACCCGGCAGCAGTTTTCTGTCGGGGATTTGTTGCGCCGCGCCACTCACTATCAAAACTATCAAAATAGGGGCAAGACCCTTTTGGGGTAGGGGCGTGTTTGTTTTGGTGATTTCAAATATCAACATTGGCTACCAGAAATCACTTACTCTGCCTTTAACTCAAAGATTCATAGAAAAAATATAAACGTTGGACTCTGTTATGTAGCTTTGTAAGTCATTGTAAGCCAAGCGCAAGCAAGAAAAGAGTGAAAGAGAGTGTTCATGGCCAGCGTCCTCTTAAGATGTGATTAGAAAGCCTGTCAGAAGGAGGGGTACTTTAAAGAAGCATCATACTGCCAGAGCTGAAGTGACACAGTGAATTCTAGAGAGTGAAGAGACTGTGTGCATGTTTGTGTGAGCAGGCAAGGAGAGAGAGAAACAAAGAGAGTTTGCACCATGCACAAGAGGATATAGAAATGCCACAGACGTGCTTGGTATTCAGTCTTCATAATCAGTGTCTGTGCATCCAGTGACACGGATGAGGAATTGCTCCTTTCTTTTACGAGTCTCTCGATGCTGTCAGAAATTATCACAAATAATTGTACACACAGGAAATTAAGAAATATGACACAAATGACAAATGCGTGCATATTATGAGGAGGAAAAGATATTCAAGAGTGTCGAGGGAGGACTTAAGCAAACTCATTGTGATTTACTAGGGCATTTAGTACATGCAGGAACATTTTGCCTGGAACACAAAGAGGAAAGGGAGGAATATGAATGTTTGGGGTATTTAATGTTACAATTGGTTGGGAAACATTGCTATTTGTATCAGAGGTTTTTTTCATGTGTTTATAGCTTATTATATTATTATGTCTGTCCCTTAGTGGCACATTTTAAATAACATTTTATATTTGCACAGAGAACAAGCCTGTTTTCCTTGTCGATAATATGCTAGGGAGTATTTTGTTTAAAATCCACTTTGCTTCTGGCTTGATGTTCATAGTAATTTGTTGTGATGACAGCATATCATTTTTCATTCCTTAAATATTGCAGCATTTTCATCATTCAGAGGCTTCCTGTACTCATCTCAATCTCTCCGAGCACTAGTGGAAAAAGCATCACTAGAGGAATACAGTAAATCAAATACTTTTTATTATAAAACTTTCAGTGAAAATATTAAATATCACACTTGCAGTGTGCTATTATACAGAAAGCTCCTCTCCAGACAACACTGTAGCCCAGGAACTATTTTTGACATAATAAATTACACCCTTTTTCAATTCAGACAGTGATGAAAGACATTTGTACAACATACGTAACATCACAACAAGGCTAAACGATGTATTTTTCTATTTGTTCGTGATTAGGAACACTTTTAAAGTCAAATAATGAACAAATGAAACACACTGTGAGACCAAGAGTTCACTAATGGAGATCCAGCAGTTATACAACTAATAAACGGAAGTACTGTTTAAAATGGTTCAGGAAAAAAGGGCAGAGCACCCTGCAGTGCAACATCTACTTTTAAAAATGACCTTTTGCACTTATTAGTGTATGCAAATATCCCTTCAAGGGGTTGGGGACTGTTAATGAAGTGTTTGGAAGGAAATGAGGACAGAATGAGTGCTTCTGCTACACCTCATGTGCCATCTGCTCCAATGTTTATTGTCAGAGCAGGACCATCATACCTGAACCCTGGGAAAGTATTACTAAGGTGAGACTCCACTCTTCGGTTAAGCACAAAATAGTAGCCCAACAACTGCAGCAAACAGAAAGAGATGAAGAGCACTAACAAAGTAACCTGAGATGAGGTCCCAAGTCCTGAGAGGCTTGGGTTTGTTAGCTTCTCTTCCTCCTGAACATGACACTCACTCCTGCACACTAATTGGTCCCTACAAAGTGACTGAGAGCAACCTACTCTACTCTCTCTGACACACATCTGGGACGAGCTCATCTCTCTCGCACACCGTATGAGAGACAGCGCTGCAGGAACCGCAGACAAATTTCCCACACATACTGGCAGTCATACACAAACTTAGCTTATCCGCCAATGGACCCACTATATACTTCAGCAGAAGCACTGATCTTCATAAATGATAAATCCATCTTGTCTGTTTTAGTCTTCTGTGGTGATCAGATGGGATTGTGACTCAACCTTACAGGTTACACGTTTCACAGAGAAAACTGATGCATGTTAATGTGTATCAAAATCAGAAGCCTGCATGGTAGAGATGTGGATTCTCTCATGACAGGAGGAAAAGTTGAAGTTAGTTCATATATATACAAGAACAGAGTGTTTTTTTATAGTGAACTAATAAAATATATGTTTAATTATTTTGTGAAAAAAAAGATGATGAATGAGAATGTGCGCTGCACTTCTTATTGCACCAAAAACACTGATTCAGCATAATGATAAATCCATCTTGTCTGTTTTAGTCTTCTGTGGTGATCAGATGGGATTGTGACTCAACCTTACAGGTTACACGTTTCACAGAGAAAACTGATGCATGTTAATGTGTATCAAAATCAGAAGCCTGCATGGTAGAGATGTGTATTCTCTCATGACAGGAGGAAAAGTTGAAGTTAGTTCATATATATACAAGAACAGAGTGTTTTTTTATAGTGAACTAATAAAATATATGTTTAATTATTTTGTGAAAAAAAGATGATGAATGAGAATGTGCGCTGCACTTCTTATTGCACCAAAAACACTGATTCAGCACATTCTCTGAATTTAAACTAAAGCAGTCATGTAAAGCGGGCGGTATTAAGGTGTGGTCACATTTACCGTTGTTCAGCAAATTCCAGTCATTTCAGTAGGAATCCATGCGATCAAGACTTTTGCTTGAGGAAGAATGATTTCCCCATGCAGATTTTGTAACAGGTTCAAGTTGTGAAACATAGATTTGTTGCATTGACCAACAAATAAAGTTGCTTGGTTTGAAAGTGACTTCTGTGTGAGCTGTGCTTCATACATCACTACACTACTAACATTAGACAAGGAACAATTTTGATGCAAAATTTCACTACAATTTCACTAATGTGACCACACCTTTAGACTAAATGTTTACAGGCTGAAGAGCTGTTCCCTGTGAAAAGTACTGTTTTTAAAATTAAGATAATAATAAAATCACAGTGGATATAGAAAAACTCTTCCTCCAACAAATTATGTACAGTTGTTACTGATGTTTGTCTTGCCCCTGGTTTCCTCTGATTGGCCCACTGTTTTGAAACTGACATCTATGAGCTGTGCTGTGTCAAACGTTCAACTTATCTTAACTCGACACTTGTCTTAAAAAAAAGCACTCGCATGCAAGAGGTTAAAAAAGCAGCAAGACACGAAGCAACGGACAACCATCGAGAACATGTATACATAGATTAAATTATTCAAAAGCAGTACAGTGGAACGCTGTGTGAATCATCCCTCAGTTCTGTACAGATCTGCTGGTAAACATAGAGTCTCGTGGGTTCGCCTGGAGCTCAAAGACTTGACCGAAATTCTACAGTACTTCAGATGAGCACAGTCACACCAATGTTCATCTGGTGGTCTTCAATGTAGCATACAAATGAACTGATGATGGAAGTCTCTTAATGGCTTTAACCTCTGGTCACGTCTCCAATCATAAAAGAACAAGCAGAGATATTTACATTATAAATGTTCTGCAGATTGGTTATTGAAGAACCACAATTCTAGTTTTGATACACCACTGATGAAGCCAGAACCAGGTGCAGTTTTCCAATGTACAGAGTTTCTCGAGTTCCTCGGATACCAGGCTCTCATTATCTCTCAAGACATGGTCCAGTGGAATGCCTCTTTACCACATCTCGCAAATATCAACTTGCTATACTCCATAGCGGTTATCTGTATGACAATGATTTACAGATCTCAGAGTCAGTGAGGAGGCTCATGGGAAGGTCTTCTGCTTTACTGTCTTTTGGCAGAGCAGGACTTGCAGCATTGTTGACCATAGAATTTGTGATTGCAAACACCATGCTGAGGCACCAGATGACACCAGCTGAAGAAGTCGATGCAAGGCTGGTTTTCTGTTAATGGAAAGACACATAATGACTATTATTTATTCTAACCCTTAAAAACAACAGTGCTAACACAGACACTCAGTGTTTTTGTAAGTGCTGTTTACTCTGAATAGAGATTTTGTGGGGATGTTGCAAAGCACTTGGAAATACTGCACCGCCATACCGATAAGGACCTGACCTGCGCTCTGAAGGCCCTCACACTCAGTTCTCCCATGAGAATAAGCAATTATACACACACAGACTTCTGTTCTCTGTGGAGGAGAGATCTTTATGTTTTCATTATGATTATAAATAAGCTGTGTACAGCACATGCCGATTATGATTCTTTCATTTATATGATATTGTTTAATCACACAATGTATTTCAGTTTCTTATTTAAATCATGGCAGACAGTCGTTTGACCTACCAATGTGATTCCAAATCAACAAGTAAAAAGTGCATTGTTTTTCCCACTACATAATGAATAAGCGTAAACACCACTGATATTTATCAAGCTTGATAATTGCATATGATACATATGTAAACAAAGCAACAACAACAATTAACACTGTGGCTGTGGAAAATATACATGCATTTATGCAACTGGCAGATGTTTTATCTAAAGCAATATATTTTATCAGTATATGTTTCCTGAGAATCCAACCCATGACATTACTAACTTTATGCTCCACCAGCTGAGCTACAGAACAAGATATGAGAGTTCATAACAAATAAACATTCAGCAGAATGTCATAACCAATGAACATTCAGTGGTAAGCCCATTCAGGCATTACAGGTACTGTTGAGTGAGATAAGAGTTGAGGGAAAAGTTGGAATAATGTAGTGTTCAAAACTCAGGGATTGCAACCAAAAGTTGCTGGTTTGATCCATGAGCCAACAATCAGTTTCCTGGTTGTGTTCTATAACTGCAAGGAAGGGAGGGAACTAACAATGAGAGTAGATTAGCTTTACTTCATTTCTTATTGTGAAGACAGTCTGGTCATGCATATTTATGTACAACTTGGAGAAGATCAGGCCATTCATACTTGAATCTGCAGCACAACTCCTTATCTAAACTCTTTTAACCTCTAGATTATAATGCTTTACTAGCCGACTGGCCCACATGCCCAACAAAACCTCTGCAAATGATTCAGAATACAACTCACACTTCACTTCTCATTGTCTCGTTTCCCTGGCAGCCCATTTCAGCTCAAGACACTGATAACTACACCAAAAAATGATCTCAATTTCACTATTCCATTTCAATTTCACTTTCTTCTGCAGATTCAAGTAACAGATCTTGTAAGTTTGTATTGAAGCACATCTCATGTTAATACCTCTTTAGGATAAATTGCTATGTAGTATTGCCTACAACACCAGAGTCTTGGGTTTGATTCTCAGGAACACACAAACAGATGTTACACACACTAGCTGTGATCAAATATATACACTAAAGTCCAAATAATTAGGGGTCAGAATCATTCAGAAATCATTCTAATAGGCTGATTTGGTGTTTAAGAAACATTTCTTATTAGTATCACAGCTGTGCTGCTTAATATTTATGTGAAAACTAAGACACATTTTTTTAGGATTCTTTAATAAAAATAAACTTTAAAAGAGCATTTTTTGTAACTTATAATGTCTTTACTGTCACTTTTGAGCATTCAAGATGAAAAAGAAATGACTAATTTCTTAAAGTCTCACCAACCTCAAACATTTGAACAGTAGTGAACATTGGACTTAAAGGGATAGTTCACCAAAAAATTAAAATTTGATGTTTATCTGCTTACCCCCAGGGCATCCAAGATGTAGGTAACTTTGTTTCTTCAGTAGACCACAAATTATGATTTTTAAAAACGATCGGTTTGTGCGAGAAACCGAACCGTATTTATATCATATTTTACTTTAAATACTGTTCGGTTTCTGGCACAAACCGATCACTTCGTGTCTTAGGACATCAATGTGTCGTTTAAATACTGTTCGGTTTCTGGCACAAATCGATCACTTCGTGTCTTAGGACATCAATGTGTCGTCACGAGTCACAGGGTTTAATTCAGATTTGTCTGTGCATGGTTTTTTTACTCTCATAGATTTTGTTACCATTGCCATGCATTATACGACTGATAGACTGCAACGGTTAAAGGCAGAGTAAGCGATTTCTGGTAGCCAATGTTGATATTTGAAATCACCAAAACAAACACGCCCCTACCCCAAAAGGGTCTTGCCCCTATTTTGATAGCTCCACCCCACATATACGTACGCAACCCAGGCAACGATTAGTTCTGTGAAACAAAGCAAAACCAATGTTACACCGTGTCTACATCGAACACGAGCGGCACGGCGCAACAAATCCCCGACAGAAAACTGCTGCCGGGTTCTATTTATGATGTGCTGACACAAATTTCAAATGGTTTTCAACGGTCGTTTGATCGCGTCCAATGTAGGCAGACTTTAGCTGTTGTAGACACGGTGTTACTCACCTATTGAGAAGAAACAAAGCAACCTCGGCGTCCGATCGCAGGCCTCCGCTCCTTGAGTTCTCTCCAGCGCTGGAAAGCTGATCTGATATTTACACGGGTCCTACCTCTTGCCTTATCGTTCCACAGACGTTTTCCTCTTTTGTTTTTTATCCGCCATCTCTATCTTTCTGTCGCTTGGCTCGGCTAATGTCCGTCCCATGCACTGAACGCGCTCTCCTCCACATCACGAGTAGACATGCCCCTTATTGCTGATTGGCTACAAGTTTGTTTAGCGATTCGGCCAGAATCAGTTTTCTAAAGTGTTTTTGAAAAATAACTTACTCTGCCTTTAAAGTAAAAAAATCATCATATGTGTTCTACTAAAGAAACAAAGTCACCTACATCTTGGATGCCCTGGGGGTAAGCAGATAAACATCAAATTTTAATTTTTGGGTGAACTATCCCTTTAAGTGTCTTCTAAATCAATAAATTAAAATTTAAAGGTAAACCAACTTGTACCTTTAAGTGTAGGTGAGGGAGGTGGGACAGGGGCTGGGATTGGACCAGGACAGAAATGTGTATTGCAGGCCCGTGTGCTTATGGGTCTCTGATGAGGTAAACAGCCCACTGACAGACGCCCTTGTCTCAGACACTGAACGCTACGTGTCTGCACCCCACCACCACAGGACACTGTGCACTGAAAGACACACAGACAGGACCGTAAGATTAGATGTCTAGCAGAATATAAACAGAACAGAACCCTGATTGGTTGTGATAAGCTAGTTGTGCATACCTGCAGCCAAGGAGAGGAGTACCAGCCCAGAGTCACGGAAGCGCCGCCCCTGTCTGGGCCAGGCTGGAGGAGCTGGGGAGGTGGGGGCTCTGGGCAGGGGCCATTATTACAAGCTTGTTGAAGGTCTGCTTGGGGTTTGCGGAGGTTCCTGCACCTCCTTGCAGGGAACTCTGTGTAGCCTCCTTGGGAGTCTTTCTCCCCACATTGCAGCTCTCTTCTCTTTACTCCTGCTCCACATGAGGCCGAACACTGCATTAAACAACCGGGCAATCAGATAATAAGGTACTTCAATATATACACACACACAAATATTCCTGACCCCTCGCTACAAGATCAACTTGTCCCTCCATAGCAATGGGTTAACAATGCTGCTAGTTTGGAGGAGAGAGATACTGAAGTACAAATGCAGAATGGAAAGTGCCACTTAGCTGTCTGGAATCAAATGCTTGTTTTTGAATAAACATAGTAAGGCTGGAATACACTAAACAACTTTTTTAATCTAAAAAGATTTTTAAAAAACTAGGAATCAAACACTTGCTGTCTTTGTAAATGGCTGCAGAGGAAAAACTGCTCATCATACGACTGAGGATCACAAATGGAACGATATGAGGGTGAGTAATTAATGACAGAATTTTAATTTTGGGGTAAGTGAATAACAAAAAAGAACTTCGCTATGGCCTAAATGGCATGTATGCTGCCTGGATATGGATATAACTTAGCATTGTGAGATTTCCATGGAAATGTCTCTTTAATATGCACATGAATGATTCTTCATTAGGGCTAAATGGGTGAATATATGTGTATGCTACATATGCACTGTTTGTGTGAGCACTTCTACATAACCTTTGATATTCCTATGAGGGGCCTTACCTCTCCCCAGGCGGTAGTTATCCACTGAAGATGCTCATTCTTGGGGCAGCGGCTCAGCACACAGGTCTCCTGGGCTTTGGGCTTCAGGTGTAATTTACACATGCTGTCAAGCACCACCACAGCCCTGGCACCTGGATCGGTGCTCCTGCAGAAAACACTGCGCTTCTTCAACCCTCGCCCACAGGTCTTAGAGCACTAGAGAGAAGAAAGGAAAGAAAGACAAACACGGAGAGAGAGAGTTACCCTCATGTGGTCTTTGAGTTATGTTAGTTTAAGCATTGTAAAGGTCACAGTGGCATGCAGTTCACCTCAAACAACAGTTGATATGAACTCTGGAGACAGGCGGTGCGAACTCAACCTGACCTTTAGGAGGAATTCAGTCAATATCAACTACTACTGCAAAATCTTCTCAAAGATTTATGATTTAACATATTACATAAGATTAGACTGAAAAAAGGGTTAAAGAATTCAGCATTGCTGCTAATGATGAAATGAACTCTGGCAACGTGTTTCAACATTCTCTGGCTTCTGTGTGTGTACTTGGAAACTTAAAGTATACACAAGTAGCAACAGCAAAAGTTATAAAAAATATTAGATTAAACCATGTGTGAAGTAGTCATTTACAGTATCTAAATGTACACTTTCCAGCATCACTAAAGTTTCAGAGAGGACACTTTTAGAAGTCCAATATATGCAGAACAGATTCTTAATGAAAGCAATGCAACAGTAAGACAGATGGAGCACAATGTGCTACATGTGCAATAACAGCAGGGGGCAGTAGTGTTTCAGCACTGATATGACATACAGAACGGTTTTCATTATGTTGTTCTGGGCATCTCAAGCCTTCACCTCATATTTCGGTCACTTTTCAAAATGTAATACGCCTGTGTTGTAATTTAGGGAAGGATTTCTATAAAAGGGTATATAACAGAATTTCAGAAACATGTTCTGGTCAAGCTTAGACAACTACACTTTATTCATTATAACGTATTTACACAATGGCAAGCAAATGAACAGGAACAAAATAAAGAAAATTTTTTTTTTTTGGCCTCATGGAAGGAAGGAGAGTTAGCTTACATTAGGTTTAAGAGGTTAGGTTTTTAGAGGTTACATTAGGTTTGAGAGTTAGCTAACATTAGGTTTAATGTACATGAGGCTGACTTGAAGTTGATTTAAAAAAAATTAAAACATCTTTTACATTTACATTACATTTTTGACACTTATTTCTGTAACTTTATCAAACAGGATGGAATGTTTTAAAGCGAGACAAACCAATTAATACCACAAAACAAGACAAAATGCACTGTTTGTTAATGTGGGATTTTACAAAAGAATAGCAGAATCTGCATGAAATATTTTCCACTATGACTATTGTGTTTCATACATGACTTTAAACGTTGAGAGTCCGTATAATTTTTATTGTTTTTGAAAGAAATCTCTTATGCTCACAAAGGCCACATGTATTTGTTTAAAACTATAGTAAAAAGAGTAATATTGTGAAATATTATTACAACTTTATTTATTTATTTATTTTACATTTTAATTTATTCCTGTGATGGCAAAGCTGAATTGTCAGCAGACATTATTTCAGTCTTCAGTGTCGCATGATCTTTTAGAAATTATTCAAATATCCTGATTTGCTAATCAAGAAGTCACATTATTCTTATATTTCTTATTATTATCTGTGTTAAAACCATGAGTTTCAATTTGCTGCTTAATATTTTTGTGCATATGTGAATTACTATGTTGAAATAGTAAAGACATTATTATAATGTTGCAAAAGATTTCTATTGACTTTAGTTGCACACATGATGATGACATCTTATTAATTCCACTGTAGGTTGCATGTTTATGTAAACATACCTGTGACCAGGAGCCGGTGCTCCACTCCGGAGGACATGCCTGTGTGTTGCAGGGCTGTAGTTGGGCCGGAGCCATTACTGGACATAAGGAGTGAGCCGCCACCTCCTCCCGCTGGTATGTCACCTTCCTCATGCAGCGGATGTTTCGCGTCTGCTGCCCACCTCCACATGTTCTACTGCACACTCCCCATTTACCTGTCGTCCAACTGTCAAGATAAACAACTTGACCTTCAGACATGAACCTCGTGTTTGAATGTTTCAGCACATTTTAACATGGAAGAGAACATTCTACACCCATATGGCACAGACATGTGAGACGCATACACACACATAGAGCTTTCTTCAAACAAATCTACATAATGTGATGATTATTAGATTATGACCAATATGATTACTCTGTAAACCACATGATGGAAAGACTAATGAAGAGACCACATACATTTGTCTGCAACCACCCCACCCTCTCTTGTGGGCTCACATGGGCATATACAAACATGCGCTTATCCTATAAGTTGAAGTTTCCAGCCTAAGAATTGGAATGTTAGAGACGCATCAAGAGAGTTCATAAATACGATTTCTAATTCTGCAACATGCACATTACAAAATACCATTCCAAGGTTCTGTAATAGATTAATCAGTTTCACTACAGCAATATGATTGGTTGGGGACAGTTGGAATGCATAAATGTCTTCCTTCTGAATACTCATAAAATATGAGTGCTTCCACACATTATTTGTGAAATTGCAACAGTGCCCCCCTATGGCCAACCATTCAGTTAAAAAAAAAATCTAAGAAAGTTAAAGCTGTGTGTGACAGCTTTAATCTTCTCAATGAAATTACTGACAAACACATACATTAAAGAAGGCTTTTTGAATTATCAGTAAAACGGAGAAAACAAAGACATGACGAGCTCACCTAAACGCATTCTGTATATTTGATTTATCAGCACATTAAAAGGCGGAGAATGAATAACTAAAGCATAAAGAATATACAGAATATGTTATTCAGCACAGATTATCGCAACAAGGACAGTGTTTACATAATGTGTTAAATGTTGGTATGTTTAATTAATAATATGTTTCTGACTTTTCACTCACCAAGGCTGCATTCATTTAATCAAAAACGCAGTAAAAACAGTAATATTGTGAAACGTTACTTCAATTTAAAATAACTTTTCTATTTTGATATATTTTAAAATGCAGGTTTTTTCTCTGACAGCAAAAATCCTACTGAACCCAAACTTTTGACCGACCCTAAATACTTGTGTAAAATATGTGTGTCTTCCATCAAATAAGACGTTGTTTTTGTGGACTAAAAATAATGGTAATTTTGTTAACTTTAGATAATGAATATGGCATGATAAAATACTGACTAAATTTAGAGTGTATTTATGTCAAAAAAAAAAAGAAACCTGTGTAAAACTCAACACTAGTTGCCAGAGAAGCTCGGTTCCAGTGCTCAGATTGCAACTCTGTCCTTGCTTCTCTTGGCTGTTGATGAAAAGAGGCTTTAAAATAGATCTGGGCAGTCTGGGGAGAGATTAGAGCAAATGACAGCTATGACGAGAGCCATGGCCGCAACACCGGACAGACGCCCCAGGTCGACTTCTTAGAAGTCCCAGTTCCACCCAACCACTCACACAGACCTGAGCCACCGAGCTGAGAAAAATCCTTTAATTTTCTCTCCAGCCATCTGACAAATTGGAGGGAGATGGTTAAACGGCTATTTTAATTGAGAGAAGAAACACGATCCACAGCACAATATGCCTTTTCACTCCCCCTCGCCCTCTCCTCGCCACATAAATGACAATGTGTCATTGGTCAAAGAGCTGACTTGCCGTGCCTCACTGCAAACCACTGCTGGCGCTTGTTTTAATTTTGTATTTCTGGAATCTTTCAATAACTCACATATTTCAAGCCATACAATTAAAGAAGACATATCTTTGGGGACAATACTGCAGACTGCTTCACATTATGTGTATGTGGCACGCACCGCATACGGTCTGATTTCGCTGGCATTTTCTCCATGTCTACCCAGAATGATGCACCCATAATAGATACTCATTCCGAATCACTCAATGAAATTTAACCTACCATTGGTCGTACAGTGGGACAAAGGCTGAATTTTTAGCACTCTCTGGGGAATGGTTTGGGTTTGGAAGCATTTGTAAGTTTAAGAGCACTAAGAGAACCATGTATTTTCCTGAACCCATGTGACATTTTGCATTTTTGCTAAAAATATTACTTTAAACAGACCAAAGCATGTGCTCTAACCACTTTAGCTATGTTGGGTTGTATGATATTGGAAATTGTTTTTATTGTTATTCATTACAATAGTCTTTGGTCTTTTTTGGGTGATCATGTACATAACAGTTCAAAGGTTCGTGGTGAGTAAGATTTTTTTATGTTTTTGAAAGTTTCTAATGCCCACCAAAACTAAATTTTTTAATTTTTATTAAAAATACAGTAAATCAGTAATATTGTGAAATATTATTACAATTTTGAATAACTGTTTTCTATTTTATTATACTTTAAAATCCTGTGATGGCAAAGCTTTTCAATTTCCTTCAAAAATCATTCTAAAATGCTGATTTGGTGCACAAGAGATATTTCTTATTATCAATGTTGAAAACAGCTGTTGCTTTTTAAATTATTGATGCATATTAATGCAATTATTAATGCAATAAATTATTATTGCAATAATGCATACTTACTAAATAAAAAATATATATATTTCTTTACAAAAAGGGGGCCAATCCTACAAAAGTCTGGTAAGAAATTCCTAAATCTGTCTGCGCTTGAAGAACGGTGGTTGAACAGAAAAGCAAACATGCAATCATGCAACACAACTAAGAAACCAAAAGAAAAGAAGGAATATTCAGAGGGCACTGCAAAAGTCTTTAAGGCATGTGCATTTATCTTCTCGTGACATTTTGGGGAACAAATCAAGCTGGCCGCTTCTGGGCCCAGCCCGTGTTTGAAGTCACCATGCTCCACGCTTCACAGAAGCAGCAGGGCAGCATTTGCAGCCAGGAGCATATCGTCAGACTGAGTCCTGTAGGCCATAGTCCAGAGATTAGCACTCAATTCCTGGCCAACTAGACGTGCTCAATTCCCACAGGGATGTGGCCTCTCTTGCTCCATAATAAAACATGGGCAGACCTGTCAACACTGAAGATATTTGCTGGAAAGATAAGCAGAAGCTTCTGTCTTCCTCTCCTGTTTTGAATGCATGCCCATACTTTTTCTGGAAGTGTTTCCAAAGGTCTATTTATTTTCCCTTTCCTGCACCCTTTTTTTTTAGCTTTCCTCTTTTCAGCAGTCATAAATCAAAGCACATAATGCCTCAAACAAATAATGTTCCGGGAGTCTGAAGTCGATATCTTAAGGCCGTGATGTCATTCAGTATGGAGAGAAACAGACTCAGCTCTGCATACAGTGGGGGAGGTCATTAGTAACTGTGGGATTTAGGACCTGTCTGTCTGAACAATAAACACACTTACAGTATGACCTACACCAAGAGAAGAAAATCCATTTTGAATGGTGGGAATCTCATGAAGAGAGAAGAAAAAGCACAAGGCCATTTAAGATTGAACATAATACCCCGTCGTACCTACATTTGAAAAGCACTGTCATCATTTGCCCACCTTCTTGTCGTTCCAAACCTGTATGACTTTCTTTCTTCTGCAGAACACAAAACAAAATTATATAAAGATATGTTTTGTTATGAAAGCCTGAAACACTTTGGTGTTCTGCAGATGTCATACAGGTTTTAAAAAATGACATGAGGGAGAGTAAATGATGACTGAAGTTTCATTTTCGGAGGAACTATCCCTTCAATAGCTTTTCCAATGTAGGTATGGTGGGTAACTAATTCATCGTGTGACTCACAGGATGGTGATGTCATTGACTTGTGACGCCAACAGAAGGAGTCTGGGATCACTAGTAATCTCTACTGGTAATCAAAGCCTCTCACCAAGTTAAAGTGTCATAGAGTTACAGGCGGACACTGGTGGTGAGTGATGGGAACCTGTGCAGTCTGTCTCAACATATCCAGCACCACCGCAGACGCGCTGCTCTCCCGTCAACCCTGCCTTTGTTTCCAATTACACTGTTATTGGACTATTTGTCAGGCTTTGAATGGGACAAGCCAAATCGGTTAGAGCTTGTTGCTGTAAGGAAACAATCATATGGTCTTGATTTCCCCTTTTAGCATCGCCTCGCCATAGCTCGCACATTATAATCGGTTGCAGCCAACATTTCACACGATGCAAGGTCAGAGAGAAAGAGAGAGAGCGAGAAGGACGGAGGGAGGAATGCCAGGAGGGGTGATTTGTTATCTGAGTTCCAGAATGGTGTGTCAATGCCTTTCAGCCTGGCAAGTGAGGGATGCTGGGTATGTAGATGCCTCTGTAAGGCAAGAGATCAGTAAATCAAGTCGAGCTGAGTGTTGCTCTTGTAAGAATGGCAGCAGGACTCTCAAAAGGAAGATGGACCGGCAGATTGACTTCAGCTTTGAGACAGCCAGAGAAAGGCTGTTTTGAGCAGTTCCTTTTATAGTCTCCAGAGCCCAGAGGAGGTTTCTGACACCTAGACTGAGAATGTTTTTCCCAGGGTCCCTAGAGAGACGGTCTCTGCTTTTCGTTCTCTTTTTTTCCATGCTAAAGGATCATTAAGCATGTTTTTCGCACAGTACAATGCCTCTATCCAATTCATTCATCAACTTCTGTAAGGTGCCTTTTTCCGATTTATCTTCCTCAATCCAAATATAACACTTATCCTTTTCACTCATAACTCTCATTGTAAATATAGTCTTTGATAAATATGGCTTCAGTTCTTGGAATATTTGAGTAGTAATTCACTGCAGTCAACAAAAAGACAAGACAGAATGAGAGACTAGTATTTGTGTGTATATACAGTGGGTACGGAAAGTATTCAGACCCCCTTAAATTTTTCACTCTTTGTTATATTGCAGCCATTTGCTAAAATCATTTAAGTTAATTTTTTTTTCCTCATTAATGTACACACAGCACCCCATATTGACAGAAAAACACAGAATTGTTGACATTTTTGCAGATTTATTAAAAAAGAAAAACTGAAATATCACATGGTCCTAAGTATTCAGACCCTTTGCTCAGTATTTAGTAGAAGCACCCTTTTGATCTAATACAGCCGTGAGTCTTTTTGGGAAAGATGCAACAAGTTTTTCAGGGGATCCTCTGCCATTCCTCCTTGCAGATCCTCTCCAGTTCTGTCAGGTTGGATGGTAAACGTTGGTGGACAGCCATTTTTAGGTCTCGCCAGAGATGCTCAATTGGGTTTAAGTCAGGGCTCTGGCTGGGCCATTCAAGAACAGTCACAGAGTTGTTGTGAAGCCACTCCTTCATTATTTTAGCTGTGTGCTTAGGGTCATTGTCTTGTTGGAAGGTAAACCTGCGGCCCAGTCTGAGGTCCTGAGCACTCTAGAGAAGGTTTTCGTCCAGGATATCCCAGTACTTGGCC